GAAGTTTATCATATCCACTTGAGCTTGGAAGAGGATTCCCAAGATATATAATGGAATGGAGCCCAGCCAACACTTTGATAATAGCCTGGTGAGAATAAGTTGATTACAGCATAGGACACAGCTAAGCCATGCTCAGATGCCTAACCCACTGAAACTATGAGATAATATAAATTGCTTAAGCTGCTAAATTTGTGGTAACTTGCTATGCAGCAATAGAAAACTAATACCATAAAATAGTACATTTTATATTCACTATTTTATGTGGTACCCTCATTTTTTACAAAGTATATGTTATCTAGTTCTTGGGTCATTCAGGTGTATACATACTTGTACACTTGTACATACTTGTACACTTAACTCCAGCCATTGACTGAAATGGGTGATATAATGCTAGATGGTTGTTAAGAAATTAACATGTAACTGTCTCTAACTCAACTTTCCAGTTTGGGAAACAATCATTTGGGAAAGAAAAGGCTCTGCTTTTTCTGATACCACACTCTACAGATATTTTCTCACATCTTTTTAAACATTTTGCAATAACATGTTGTTTATAGGAAGTTTATAGGGTATGTGATGATTAAAATTTTTAAGTGACTTGATAGTTGCAAAAGAAGGATAATATTTAAGGTCAGTGAGTAGCAAGACAATCTAAAGTTTCTGTTATATCTGGCACTCTGTTAATTATAGAGCAAAGATTCCCTTACAGAACCCTTTTATGAACAGCAAACTAGAGTCTATCCCTAGTAGTTAGAGCATTTGCTATGTTTTTCAGGAGACAGTTATGCCAGGGTGATCTGAATGGATAGATGTGCTGTTTTGCCTGCTTGTAGAATTCATCCCAATCTTTGGTCTCTCTCTCTCCCTCCTCCACCTCTCCCTCTCTCTTCCGCACCAGAGCCTAAGGCTGCCCCACCAACATGCGTCATTTTTTCCAGAGGCTACATTTTTTTTTTTTTTTTTTTTTTTTTTTTGAGACAGAGTTTTGCTCTGTTGCCCAGGCTGGCATGCAGTGGTGCGGTCTCGGCTCACTGCAGCCTCCGCCTCCTGGGTTCACGCGAGTTTTCTGCCTCAGTCTCCGGAGTGGCTGGGACTGCAGGCGCATGCCACCATGCCCAGCTAATTTTTGTATTTTTATAGAGACGGGGTTTCCCCATGTTGGCGAGGCTAGTCTCGAACTCCTGACCTCAAGTGATCTGCCTGCCTCGGCCTCCCAAAGTGCTGGTATTACAGGCGTGAGCCACCACATCCTGCCCAGACATATCAAATTTGACAGGTATTGTTTACCCTTTGGATCTTTAGGAATTAATTTTTGCCTCTGTCACTCAGCTTTGTATATTTTGAAATGGAGGTAAGTATAGGGAGGTCATGGAAGGAAAATTGCCAGAATTCCCAAACCATGTAATACTCATTGAGAATTCCAGATCCATTATATCTAAAGGGCAAGTGAAGGAAACAGTATCGTGAACTGGGTATAACTACTTGGTTCTCGACTAGTACATTCTTAATTTGTGAGATCAAAAGTTGATAAACAATAATTTAAGATTGTACAGTAATCTAAACATCTGCAAAGGTCTAGATATTATCAGTATCACTAGTTTTATTTCTGCCAGTAGCTCCCTTTTACGTTACACTGTTGTCCTCTTTCCAGTGTGGCATCTATCATTCGTTTTTTACTATGGCAAGTTCATTAAAAAGCTTGCTCCATTGTTGTCTTCAAGAAATGCCCATAAGGCGATGGAAGATATCTGAGACGATTAAGGCTTTAGCTTCTAGGCAAGAGAAATAACATTGCATTAAATTCCAAGTTTCTTTCTGCTAGACTTGAATGTCTAGCCACTCTAATTTATGGGGGCTTTTGGGTTTTTTCCTATTGTACTTTGTATGTAGAATTGTTTTGAAATATCAAGCATATTTGCTTTGAATTGGAACTCTTTCTTAATTTTGTATTTATCCTTTGAATAAAATGTAAATCCAAAAAAAGAAATTAACATGTAGCAAAAGAAAAAAAATATTCAAAACTCAAAATGTAATAACAGGTTACCTTTATTCCTTTGATGGGATCACATAAACCAGAGTCAGATGTAGAGTTTACAATTTCTGAAGAAGTTTTTCGTTGCATCTTAAAACGTTTATACCTTTTTTTTTCTTTTTTGTTATACTTTAAGTTCTAGGGTACATGTGCACAACGTGCAGGTTTGTTACAGATGTATACATACGCCATGTTGGTGTGCTGCACCAATTAACTCATCATTTACATTAGGTATATCTCCTAATGCTATCCCTCCCCGCTCCCCTGACCCCACAACAGGCCCCGGTGTGTGATGTTCCCTGTCCCGTGTCCAAGTGTTCTCATTGTTCAATTCCCACCTATGAGTGAGAACATGCAGTGTTTTGGTTTTCTGTTCTTGTGATAGTTTCCTGAGAATGATGGTTTCTAGCTGCATCCATGTCCCTACAAAGGAAATGAACTAATCCTTTTTTATGGCTGCATAGTATTCCATGGTGTATATGTGCACATTTTCTTAATGCAGTCTGTCATTGATGGACATTTGGGTTGGTTCCAAGTCTTTGCTATTGTGAATAGTGCTGCAATAAACATACATGTGCATGTGTCTTTATAGCAGTATGATTTATAATCCTTTGGGTATATACCCAGTAATGGGATGGCTGGGTCAAATGGTATTTCTAGTTCTAGATCCCTGAGGAACTGCCACACTGTCTTCCACAATGGTTGAACTAGTTTACTGTCCCACCAACAGTGTAAAAGTGTTCCTATGTCTCCACATCCTCTCCAGCACCTGTTGTTTCCTGACTTTTTAATGATCATCATTCTAACTGGTGTGAGATGGTATCTCATTGTAGTTTTGATTTGTATTTCTCTGATGACTAGTGATGATGAGCAATTTTTCATGTGTCTGTTGACTGCATAAATGTCTTCTTTTCAGAAGTGTCTGTTAGTGTCCAGGAATTTATTCATTTCCTCTAGGTTTTCTAGTTTACTTGCACAGAGGTGTTTATAATATTCTCTGATGGTAGTTTATATTTCTGTGGGGTCAGTGGTGATATCCCCTTTATCATTCTTTATTGCATCTATTTGATTCTTCTCTCTTTTCTTCTTTATTAGTCTTGCTAGTGGTCTATCAATTCTGTTGATCCTTTCAAAAAACCAGCTCCTGGATTCATTGATTTTTCAAAGGGTTTTCTGTGTCTCTGTCTCCTTCAGTTCTGCTCTGATCTTAGTTATTTCTTGCCTTCTGCTAGCTTTTGAATGTGTTTGCTCTTGCTTCTCTAGGGCTTTTAATTGTGATGTTAGGGTGTCAGTTTTAGATCTTTCCTGCTTTCTCTTGTGGGCATTTAGTGCTATAAATTTCCCTCTACACCCTGCTTTAAATGTGTCCCAGAGATTCTGGTATGTTGTATCTTTGTTCTCATTGGTTTCAAAGAACATCTTTATTTCTGCCTTCATTTCGTCATGTACCCAGTAGTCATTCAGGAGCTGGTTGTTCAGTTTCCATGTAGTTGAGCGGTTTTGATTGAGTTTCTTAGTCATGAGTTCTATTTTGATTGCAGTGTGGTCTGAGAGACAGTTTGTTATAATTTCTGTCCTTTACATTTGCTGAGGAGTGTTTTACTTCCAACTATGTGGTCAATTTTGGAATAAGTGCAATGTGGTGCTGAGAAGAATGTATATTCTGTTGATTTGGGGTGGAGAGTTCTGTAGATGTCTATTAGGTTCACTTGGTGCAGAGTTGAGTTCAATTCCTGGATATCCTTTTAACATTGTCTCGTTGATCTATCTAATGTTGACAGTGGGGTGTTAAAGTCTCCAATTATTATTGTGTGGGAGTCTAAGTCTCTTTGTAGGTCTCTCAGGACTTGCTTTATGAATCTGGGTGCTCCTGAATTGGGTGCATATATATTTAGGATAGTTAGCTCCTCTTGTTGAATTGATCCCTTTACCATTATGTAATGGCCTTCTTTGTCTCTTTTGATCTTTGTTGGTTTAAAGTCTGTTTTATCAGAGACTATGATTGCAATCCCTGCCTTTTTTTTGTTTTCCATTTGCTTGGTAGCTCTTCCTCCATCCCTTTATTTTGAGCCTATGTGCACGTGAGATGGGTCTCCTGAATACAGCAAACTGATGGGTCTTTACTCTTTATCCAATTTGCCAGTCTGTATCTTTTAATTGGACCATTTAGCCCATTTACATTTAAGGTTAATATTGCTATGTGTGGACTTGATCCTGTCATTATGATGTTAGCTGGTTATTTTGCTCGTTAGTTGATGCAGTTTCTTCCTAGCATCGATGGTCTTTACATTTTGGCATATTTTTGCAATGGCTGGTACTGGTTGTTCCTTTCCACATTTAGTGCTTCCTTCAGGAGCTCTTGTAGGGCAGGTCTGGTGGTGACAAAATCTCCCAGCATTTGCTTGTCTGTAAAGAATTTTATTTCCCCTTCACTTATGAAACTTAATTTGGCTGGATATGAAACTCTGGGTTGAAAATCCTTTTCTTTAAGAATGTTGAATATTGGCCCCCACTCTCTTCTGGCTTGTAGAGTAAAATGTTTATACCTTTTTCAGACAAATAGAGTACCTATTGTTTTATACATTTGGGTTACAAAAGTTTTGAAAAATTTGAAATTCAAATAGGTTTAAGGAAATTCTCCAAAGTCATATAACCAGTAAGTTGCTGTTCTGACTCCCAATATGATGTTCTTTCCTCTGTAGTTGTTTAAACCATGGTAATTTTCATAATATTGACATAAATATGCCCGGGTTTGCCATTTCATTTTCTGAACCTTGATGAGAAGAGTCCATCAACAAGAAAGACATTATCTCAGGAAGAATTTTAGTTCACACACACACACACAGAGACACACACACATACACACAGATATATATACCTATAATCCCATACATAATAATGTTTCTCTACATATGACTATCAGAGCAAGTATTAATCAAATATTGATGCATACAGACAGTGGGTGTGTTACCTGTACTTGATCCAAATCTTTTATTTTAAACTCTTTTTCTGAAGACATCTTCCTGTAACATAAAATGTTTTAAAATGCATCATGATATTTTTAAATGTATCACTGCTTTGCTTTCTTGAGGAGAACTTTTTAAACCATTTTAAAATAATGAAGTTTTTTTTAAAAATTCGTATTTCTAAGAGACATAAAATTCATACAGGCTAAATTACAAACAACTGAATAACATTTCCCAAGCTAACTTCTCACTGCTATGATTAAGATGTGAAAAGACAGATATTCAAAGCATATTGGTCATTTTTTCTTCTTGGGTGATTTTTTATTAAAGGTCAAAGCCATTTGTCCCATGAATTTATTTTCAGGATTTGTGGAACTCTATAAAGTTTGACTTCATAGTTTCCTTTTAAAAAATATTTTAATATCAGGGTTTAACCAGGCAAATTCAAATGCAATAATTATTTTATAATACTAAAGAAAATATTTACTTAAAAATGCTACTTTATAATAATACACATACACAAAAAATAAATAACTTTTTATAAGAATAATACAATTAATAAGTACAGTAGAAAAGAACAGCCAAGACTGTGGAGTTAACAAATTACAAAGCATAAGCTAGACCATCAAAGAAACAATGTAAATCCTTTTTTCCTAAAATTAAAGATTTAATTCTGTTCACCTATTTCTGAATGTATTGTGGTTCAATCTCCTCTTCCAGTCCATTTTTGGTTCTTTGTTCTTCCCTTTTTAGCTTTATCCCATAATCATATACTGATATGCTAATAAAAACATGTGTTTGTCAATTTTATGTTTTCAAAAGCTTATTCATAAGTTTATTTGACTTTAAATTGTTTTTATAAAAAGAAAATATAAATTAATAAGAAAAAAAGATTAACATGTATCTTTATGTCTTACTTTTCTGAATCCTCAGATTTTCCTTTGTCTTTTTTCTTCACTGTTTTCGCAGCTTTCTTTGTTCGATTATTTGTAGACTTAATTTTCTGTATAATTTTATATAAGCCAGAAATAAAGGGTTGAAAACACAATAAGTTATAGAAAAATATGATAATATATATTGCTAATGTACATTTTACTCTAAGAGTCACTATACAACATTTCAAGAAAAATTATCTGCATAGAAGCAAAACAAAATGACACATCTGGTCTGTTTGTAATAGTGCTTTATGTGGTGTAAGTTGTATATAAGCTAATACATATTAAAACATTTAAATTTTTCTGACAATTACAATCAATTATGTTATAATGTGGCATATGCCTTCCAGAAAATTGCCTCACTATGCAAAAACACGCAATAAAACCTGTAGGATGTATGGGGGAAATGGGTTAGGTGCACATCTTGCAAAAACCTTGTAGGTAATATATTTTTAAAAATAAAACCTAAGAAAAACAGTACTATAGTACACAGTTAAATGATTAAGACTACATAAATACCATGAGAAATACAGACTTTTATTTGGAGAAAGACCTGAAACTTGTTTGTGAAAGTGAGCATTGAATAGGTTGCAACTTGTGAGTTATTGCACAGTGGAAGGAAATTACCTGAAATTAAAATGTCATACCACCAGATATGGGCTGGTGTGGCATACTATACACAGGTGAACCAAGGTAGATGGAGAAAGTTGCTTTCTGCTTTTTTTCTTTTTTTTTTTTTTTTTTTTTTTTGGGATGGGAGTCTCACTCTGTTGTCCATGCTGGAGTGCAATGGCACAATCTCAGCTCACTGCAACCTCCACCTCCTGGGTTCACGCAATTCTCCTGTCTCAGCCTCCTGAGCAGCTCGGATTACAGGGGCTTGCCACCACACCCAGCTAATTTTTGTATTTTTAGTAGAGACGGGATTTCACCATATTGATCAGGCTGGTCTTGAACTCCTGACCTCAGGTGATCCACCCGCCTCGGCCTCCCAAAGTGCTGGGATTACAGGCGTGAGACACCGCACCCAGCCCTTCTGCTTTCACTCATTGTTTTTGCAGATGAAACGGCTTAATTAAGCACATGTGAAATTCAAACTATGCTCAAATTGTTCAATTAAGTTAGAACAAGTTTGCATTTCAAACAAATATTATAGCAGAACTAATCACGTTTTAAAGTATTCTTGAGCTGCTGTGTAGTACAAGATCTTTTTCTTTTCAGTAGAAAGAATAAAAATGTATTCAGGGCTTTATTTTTAACTGACAGCAAATAGAAATCCTTTAGTGAGATCATGGCAATTTGACAGTATTATAATTAAGCTCAATCAAGGTACATGGGGTACTTGGAAGATCAAGTTCTACAGCTGCCTATTTCCACATCTTTCAATCCGTCTGGTTCCTTAAACAATAGGGGGAAAACCCCTTATTTGGTGGAGAAGCATTTCTAAAATGAAGTTACAGTTTCTCTCTCTCTCAAAATTTACTGTCGTGTCAACTGTTAAAATAGGGCCTTTTGTGTGTTTTGTTATTTCATCTTAATATCACCAGAATTTCTGTAATTCCACAACTGTGATTTTACAATGTAGAAGAGAATTCAGTTCTAGTCTATTGCTTTAGATGTAAAAACAGCTGAAAACCCAAAGTGGATTAGAATTGCTAAAATATTTCCCTGCCATCGTTTGATACAATCTATTCTCTTGATTCTTGATAGGTGCATAGGAAGCCTAACTTAGAATTCTTTCTACAGGAACATGTCTGATTTCAGGAGTACCCAATGAAGGATCCCATGGATGGCCAGTCAGTTACTCAGAGTAATATGTTTATGAATTAAATGGATTGCATAATGGCACCACTCTTTCTTTGTCACTGTTGGTGGATAAATGACAAAGTAGATTCCAATACCCTGTATAGAAAGGTGGTTACCCAACAGCCTCACTGGTGGCTTGCTAGCAGTAGAGCCTCAAGTCGCACCTCTGTGGCTTTCTGTAAATTTGAGTCCTATAGCCACTTCAAGAATGTGTAATCCCCAAGGCCCACTTGGTCCATGCTGAAGAAGCAGCTGTGACCCCAATCTTGCCCCTTTTGCTCTTCAATATTACTGGAGGAATATGTAATATCTAGGTCAAGTCTAGGAGAGGCTCATCCTAAAAAAAATTGCCAAGTCTTTCCTCAATTAAAACAAAAAAAGCCTCAAGTACATCTCAATCATGTCAAAATTATGGCTACAAACTGACATTATGTAGGGAAATAGCAGCAGAGAATGGCTAATCTTAAGAAACAACCAACCAACTAAAAAAACAAAAAAAAAACAAGACCAACAAAAAAATAGTGCCATCCCACCCCTCCCCTTGGTTCTTTCAATTGGGGTTAAAGACTCGAGCCTCTGAGAAAATGAGAAAGGGAAAGCCATAGAGGAAAACTGCTTCAAGGCCAGAATTTTGGGCAAGGTAAAGAAAAAGTTGTACATGAAAGCAGGGACTGTCTGGAAAAGAATCAGAATCTCAAGATCTATTTTTCTTAAATGGGAAAGCTCTGAAACCCAGATCTCTGTTCTACCATCATCCTGATCCTTTAGTTATGGGGCAATAAACTCAAGTGCAATGAGTAAAGTGCCAGCCATGGATACAAAAACAAAATATAAAACAAAACAGCCAACCAAAATAACTCTGGTCTTTGGCCGGGCGCGGTGGCTCAAGCCTGTAATCCCAGCACTTTGGGAGGCCGAGACGGGTGGATCACGAGGTCAGGAGATCGAGACCATCCTGGTGAACACAGTGAAACCCCGTCTCTACTAAAACTACAAAAAACTAGCCGGGCGAGGTGGCGGGCGCCTGTAGTCCCAGCTACTCGGGAGGCTGAGGCAGGAGAATGGCGTGAACCCGGGAGGCGGAGCTTGCAGTGAGCTGAGATCCGGCCACTGCACTCCAGCCTGGGCGACAGAGCGAGACTCCATCTCAAAAAAAAAAAAAAAAAAAAAAAGAAAAAAATAACTCTGGTCTTAGGGTAATAGAAGACATATAGGAAAGGACTGTCTATAGAACACCTGAGGTTCTCAAGAAATTACTATTCAATGGTTCTGTTTTTGCTTACATTAAAAATCAGACTAAAGATTCAAAGATCTTAACTATTAAAGGATGAAAGGAATTTGACAGTGCTTTGAACAGTGATAAAATGGTACCCAAATTTGGTGTTCATACAGTTAACTACAAAAGATAGTAGCTTAAAAGTTGCAAGAAAAAATGCGAGCATACAGAACAACAGAAACAGTCCAGGAAGATGATGCAGCCTGGACACAGCAAGTTTAATGTCTCTGCTGGTGTACACAGAATTAACACCCTTTCCCCTCCTCATCCTCATGCAGGCAATAGAATATACACTAGAAAATTTGACTCTTAATGAATAAAAGGATGGGTTCATACACCTTCATAGCTCTTTCAAAAAGGATGCTTATAATTTAAAGGATGTCCTAATGGGAAGGAAAGGTACAGGGCAAGAGGCAGTTTCACATTTTAGTCCATTAGTCTTTGGTAGAGCCCAACCAAGGCCAAATTCACCTAGGATGCCCAATGGCTGTGGGGATCTCCACAGTGTCAAGTAAGCAAACCCAAATGAACATGTTGGATTACAAAAAAAAAAAAAAAATCTAGAAACTCTTGAAGAAAGAGTTTCACCCTAAAAAGGGAAGAGGAAAATGCTTGGAGGGGAAGGGCTGAGGGTCAGTATGTGATCTCTGCTGTGGTGCTGGCCAGGGGCTTAGGAGTTAAGCCAAGGGTGGCGGAGACACTCGGTGGCAGTGGCTCTCTTCTCAGGGATCAACTCCAACATGGGCAGTAAGAAATCTGTGAAGCCAGCTGCCTCTTCCTGAGACCACTCATACTTCTCCACTAGAACCTCAAAAAGGCCCCAAGGTTTCAGCTTCGTGATACGTTTCAGGTCACCTTTTTTGGTGAAAAATTCCTTGGAATATTTTCCTGCCACAATGAGCTTGCAAGGCACCTTCACTAGAAGTTCTATGATCAATGCAATGTGATCTTCATCTTGAGTGTACTCTTCCCCTGAATGAGGTTCAAATAAATAGGCATCTGTGGCCAGTTCAAAGGCCATGCATGTCATGCTCCAAATGTCAGCAGGGGTATTACAGCCAGATCCTATTAGAACTTCCAAGGAATGATATTGCCTCGTTTGAATATCTTCAGTGAAATGTTTGTGCACCCAATAAGCATTTCCAAGATCAGCAATCTTCACCTTGAACTTTTCTGCATTTTTTGGCTCAAGGGAATTAACAAGAAAATTTCCAGCCGTGGATTTTCCTTTGTTGTCCAGTGGTCCATTATGTTCTTGCTCTTGTTCATCTTCACAGGGTATCTCTGACCGAATGCTTTCTTGAAGTTGGCTAATGTACTGTTCACTGAATGACTAATCTATAGTTGAGGAAGACTGGCACACCATGGAGTCTGACACCTCAGATGTTATAGGAGTCTGTTTCTTGAGATGTGCTACTGTCTCCATTTTGGGAGCTTAGGAAACTAGATTCCTGATTCAAATTTTGGACATCATGGTCATTAGCATTATGTAGATCCTCTTTATGCCTCAGTGTTTCATTATTACTGTTCTGAGTATAATTAATGACTTCAATCACTCCATTGCAATTAATTTCTGCTGCACCACCCTCTGTATCACGTTCCATAAGTGTTTGATCCTGGCCAATGTACTTGACTCTTCAAGTTTTTCTTGGGTCATTTTATTAGGTGGGTTCTCTTTCAAGGGTCTTTCAACAGGACTCTCTGATTCTTCTTGCTTGTTTGGTCTTTTTTGCCCAAGGTCTGACTCTCTCCATTTCCTCAATTTCCTGCATTCGCTTCTCTAGTAATTCTGCCTGGCGCTTCTGCCTCTTCTTCAATTTCTTCTTCTTCTTCTTTGACATTTTGTCAGCTGGTTTAGGTTGGGGAGCAGTACTGACTGCAGATCCAGAAGGTGGAGGAGCTCCAGACTGCTGCCATTCTGTTGCTTCTGCAGCCAGCCTCCGAAAGTACTGCTTATTCACTGACAATAAGATGTTCTCTGGTTTAATGTCAGTGTGGATGATACGGCACTTGGTATGTAAATAATCAAGACTCTGTAACAACTTGCTGAATAATTTTTTTGACACAAGGCAGTGGAAGCCCCTGACAATTGGACTTGGTGATCCACTTGAGCAGATGATGCCCCAAAACTTCAAATACCATGCAGATATGTGTTCCATTAACTCCTGATATTTTAAAGTCATCTAGTAGTTGTACAACCATTTCTCTATTTGGATCATTAGGATCTGGATTGCGAGCTGACTTCAGCAACCAGATTTCATCTAGTGCTGTTTCAGTGTAATGTTCAGCACTTTTAACTACTTTCATTGCCACAAATTTCTTCCCGTAAATATCCCATGATAAACATACCGTTGAAAAGTGTCCCCAGCCTAACTTTTGGATCACGTGGTATCTCCCGTTGAATAGATCTCCAATTTTCACAAGATGATAACTTCCTTTACAATAATCATTAGGATCTTCTTGCTCATCATCATCAGATCCCAGAATCTCCTCTTCCTGCTCTGGTAGATCACTCTTGGAGTGGAGAGCAGAGCCTCGGTGCTGAGTTTCAGATTTCCTTTGGGCTTTGTCCTTCTTGGGTATGGTCCTTTTCTTTCGGGCCTGGAGCGCAAGCACTTTCCACTCCATGGTGAGACCAATAACTGCCAGGTGGCTGCGTACCAGTACAAGATCATTTTATACAAGAAAGCAAGGGAAAAAATTAACAGTTAAAAATTATTTAAAATTTTAGGATATTTGGACAAGATGGCAGACTAGAATCATCTCATATGCACCATTCTCACAGATCAGAAACAAAAGGGGCTAGTAAACATTGACCCTGCAGGCCGATCATCTGAGAAACCATGTTATGATCCATCAAGGCAGCAGGGTAACACAAAGAGCAGACATGAGTGAGGTGGGACACCAGCATGTCTGGGCTCAGTGCAGAGCCAGGAGAACCTTTCAGTATGGGAAAGGTTGAGTAAGTGAACCATTTTCCAACATGGGAAAGGGTGAGAGCCCCTAGCGGGATTCAGCTCTCCACAGGGACCTGTGCAAGACTGGGAATGGGAGAAACCCCCTGGGCCCCCACCAACTCTACCACATTTCTAGACTGACGTAGGAGCCACTGGGACATTTTGTGGGGGCAACTCTTGCGTCCACGGAGACCTCTACAAGCCTTGGGCCCAAGGGCAGACCAGTACCAATGTCACTGCCTCAGTAAAAACCACAGTTGCAGTACCTGGGAGCTGTACGATTTATCCATGTCTTCCTGCCAGATGGGGCTCAAGGCCAGCTCCCGAACTAGCAGGCCCATTTTGGGCCGAACTCGGCTGGCCACTCCACCCACCCCCACCACTGGTAGCCAGGCAGGTGAGGCTTCCTAGAGCTTCCAGCCCAGCAGTCCTGCTTTTGTGTGAACTCAGCTGGAGGGTGCAGCCTCCTGCTTTCCCAGGAAATACCCAGAGAGCTGAGCAGGTGACTCCACCCACCCCTCCCATGGAAACTCATATTGGCAACACCTTCTAGAGCTTCCAGCCCAGTGGCCATGCTTCTGTGTAAACTCAGCGATAGGGTGTACCTTCCTGTTGTCCCAGGAAGCATCTAGACTATAGACCAGGCATCCCCACCCACCCCCACTTCTGGTAGCCAGGCGAGCCATGCCTGCTAGAGCTTCTAACTCAGTGGTCCTACTTCTGCCTGAATTTGCCTCCTGCTGCCCTGGAAACACACAGAAAGCAGGGCGAGCAACTCTATCCACGCCTGTGGCTCTCTAAAATAAATCAATCAGACAAAAACAAAGATAAAAAATGAAAAAAAACTGAGAAATCTGGGGTTAGGTAGAGGTCAAATCTATGACTTATTGGTATTCCTGAAAGAGGCGGGGGAAAAGCAAGCAACCTGGAAAACATATTTCACTGTATCACTGATGAAAACTTACCCAACCTCGCTAGAGAGGATAACATTCAAATCCAAGAAATACACAGAGCCCCTGAAAGGTATTACACAAGAAGATAATCCCCAAGACACATAATCATCAGATTTTCAAAAGTCAACATGTAAGAAAAAATGATAAAGGTAACTAGAGAGAATGTGCAGGTCACCTACAAAAAGAACCCCATCCATCAGGCTAAAAGTGGACCTTTCAGCAGAAATCCTACAAGCCAGAAGAGATCGGGGGCGGGGCAGGGGGGAGGCCTATATTCAGCATTCCTAAAGAAAAAAATTTCCAGCCAAGAATTTCATATCCAGCCAAACTGAATGCCATACGTGGAAAAGAAATAAGATCCTTTTCAGGCAATCAAATGCTAACAACATGATAGCGAGATCAAACTCATACACATCAATATTAACACAGAATGTAAATGGGCTAAATGCCCAAATTTAAAGGTACAGAGTGGCAAGCTGGAAAAAGAAGCAAGACCCAATGGTATGCTATCTTCAAGAAATCCATCTCACAGGCAATCCACATAGGCTCAAAATAAAAAGAGAAAAATTTACCATGCACATGGAAAACAGGAAAAAGCAGGAGTTGCAAACCTAATTTCAGGCAAAATGAACTTTAAGTGAATAAAGATCAAACAAGGTAAAGATGGGCAGTACATATTGGTAAAGGTTTCAATTCTACAAGAAGATTTAACTATTCTAAACATATACACACCCAACATAGGACCACGCAAATTGATACCCAGGGTAAGCAAGTTCTTAGAGACCTACAAAGAGACTTAGACCCACACACAATAATAGTGGGACACTGCTATTAGACAGAAGACCCCACTGACAGTATTAGACAGATCATTGAGGCAGAAAATAAACAAAGATATTCAGCACCTAAACTCAACATTTGACCAGTGGACAAATAGACACTACACAACGCTCCACCCAAAAACAACAGAATATACATTCTTCTCATCACGACATAGCACGTACTCCAAAAAATCTAACTGGCCATAAAATAATCCTTAGCAAATTAAAAAAAAAAATTAAAATCATACCAACCATACTCTCAGACTACAGCAAAATAAAAATAGAAATCAAGACTAAGAAAATCACTCAAAACCATACAATTACATGGAATTTAAACAACCCCTTCCTGAAGACATTTGGGTAAACAATGAAATTAAGGCAGAAATTAGGAAGTTCTTTGAAACTAATGAGAACAAAGATACAACATACCAGAAACTCTAGGACACAACTAAGGCAATGTTAAGAGGGAAGTTTATAACACTAAATGCCCAACATGAAAAAGTTAGAAAGGTCTAAAATTAACAACCTAACCTCACAACTAGAAGAAGAGAAGAGTAAGCCAACCCCAAAACAAGTAAAAAGTAAGAAGTACCCAAATCAGAACTGAAGAAACTGAGATATAAAAAAAATATGAAAGATCAACAAATCCAGAAATTGGTTTTATAAAAAATTAACAAGATAGACCACTAGCTAGATAAATAAAGAAAAACAGAGAGCAGATCCTGATAAACACAATTAGAGATGACAAAGCAGATGTTACCACTGACACCACAGAAATACAAATAACCATCAGAAACTACTATGATCGCCTCTATGCACACAAACCAGAAAATCTATACTAGAAATGAGTACATCAAACTAGAAATGGATAAATTCCTGGACACATACAACCACAAAAATGATCCAGGAAGAAACTGAATCCCTGAGCAGACCAATAATGATTTCCAAAATTGAATTAGTAACAAAAAGCTTACCAACCAAAATAAGCCCAGGACCAGAGAGATTCACAGCCAAATTCTACCAGATATATAAAGCAGCGCTAGTGCCATTCCTACTAAAATGATTCAAAAAAACTGAGGAGGAGGACTCCTCCCCAACTCATTCTATGAGGCCAGCATCATCCTGATGCCAAAACTTGGCAGAGACACACCAAATAAAGAAAACTTCAGGCCAATATCTTGATGAACATAGATACAAAAATCTCCTCAACAAAATACTAGCAAACTGCTTCCAGAGGCACATCAAAAACCTAGTCCACCATGATCAAATAGGCTTTATCCCTGGGATGCAAAGTTGATTCAACATATGCAAATCAATAAATCTGATTCACCAAATAAACAGAACTAAAAACCAAAACCACATTATTATCTCGATAGAGGCAGAAAAGACTTTCAATAAAATTCAACATCTCTTCATGTTAAAAACCTTCAATAAACTAGGCATTGAAGGAACATACATCAAAATAATAAAAGCTATCTATGACAAAACCACAGCCAACATCATATTGAATGGGTAAAAGCTGAAAGCATTTCCCTTGAAAATCAGCACAAGACAATGATGCCCTCTCTCACCATTTGTATCCAACACAATATTGGAAGTCCTGGCAAGAGCAATCAGGCAAGGGAAAGCAATAAAGGGCATCCAGATAGGAAGAGAGGAAGTGAAACTACCCCTGTTTGCCAGCATGATTCTATATCTAGAAAACTCCATAGCCTTGGCCCAAAATCTCCTTCAGCTGATGAACAACGTCAGCAAAGTTTCAGGGTACAAAATCAATATGCAAAATTAGTAGCACTCCTATACATCAATATCCAAGCCAAGAGCCAAATCAGGAATGCAATTGCATTCTCAACTGCCACAAAAAGAATAAAATATCTAGGCATATAGCTAACTATGGAAGTGAAGGATCTCCACAATGAGAACTTTAAAACACTGCTCAAAGAAATCAGATGACACAAACAAATGGGAAAACATTCCATGCTCATGGATAGTGAGAATCAATATTGTTAAAATGGTCATACTTCCCAAAGCGATTTAAAGATTCAAAGCTATTCCTATCAAACTACCAATGTCATTCTTCACAGAAATAGAAAAAACTATTCTAAAATGCATAAGGAACCAAAAAAGAATCAGAATAGCCAAGGCAATCCTAAGCAAAAAGAATAAAGCTAGAGGCATCACACTACCCAACTTAAAACTATACTACAGGGCTACAGTAACCAAAACAGCATGGTACTGGTGCAAAAACAGACACCTAGGCCAATAGAACAGAATAGAGAAGCCAGAAATAAGGCTGCACACCTAAAACTATCTGATCTTCAACATACCTGACAAAAACAAGCAATGAAGAAAGGACTCCCCATTCAAAAACTGAGGGTGGAATAACTGGCCAGCCATATGCAGAAGATTGAAATTGTACCCCTACCTTACACCACATTCAAAAATCAACTCAAAATGAATTAAAGACTTAAATGAAAACCCAAAACTATAAAAACTCTGGAAGATAACCTAGGAAATACCATTCTGGACATAGCACTTGGCAAAGATTTTATGATAAAGATGCCAAAAGCCATTTCAACAAAGACAAAAACAAATGAGATCTAAACTAAAGAGCTTCTGCATAACAAAAGAAACTATCAACAGAGTAAACAGGCAACCTAGAGATTGGGAGAAAATATTAGTAAACTATGCATCTGACAAAGGTGTTATATCCACATTCTATAAGGAACTTAAATTTACAAGGAAAAAATGACTCCATTAAAAAGGGGACAAAGGACATGAATGGACAATTTTCAAAAGAAGACATACATGTAGCCAACAAACATACAAAAAATGCACAACATCAGTAATCATTAGAGAAGTGCAAACCAAAACCATAATAAAATATCATATCATACCAGTCACAATGGCAACTATTAAAAAGTCAAAAAGTAACAGATGCCGGTGAGGTTGAGGAGAAAAGGGAAAATTTACACACTGCTGGTGGGAGTGTAAATTAGTGTAAATTAGTTGTGGAAAGCAGTGTGGTGATTCCTCAAAGAACTTAAAAAAGAATTACCATTTGACCCAGCAATCTCATTGTTGGGTATATACCCAAAGGAATATAAATCATTTTACCATGAAGACACATGCACATATATGGTTATTGCAGCACTATTCACAATAGCAAATACATGGAGTCAACCTAAATGCCCATCAACGGTGGGCTGGATAAAGAAAATGTGATACGTATACACCATGGAATATTACATAGCTATAAAAAATAATTAGATAATATCCTCTGCAGCAACATGGATGGAGCTGGAAGCTATTATCCAAATGGCTAGTGCCAAATACCCCCATTATCTTACTTATAAGGGTGAGCTAAACAACAAGACCACATGGATTCTAGGAGAGTAACAACAGACATTGGGGCCTACTTGAGAGTGCAGAGTGGTAGGAGGAATGGGATCAGAAAAAACACCTATCGGGTACTATGCTTATTACCCAGGTGATAAAATTATCTGTACACCAAACACCCATGACATGCGAAGTTTACCTATATAACAAACCTGCCCATGTACCCCTAAACCTAAAATAAAAGTTAACCAAAACGTGAGGTTTGCTGGGAGGAAATAGATATATTCAAAT